CACATTGTGTTACAACTTGAGAGAGGTTTTTTTTAATAAAATGATGTACCATTGGCATATGACACCAGAGAAATTATCTAAGATGTGTAAAGATACTTCTAGTCAATGTTGGAAATGTGAAAAACATGAAGGGACATTTTACCATGCATGGTGGACTTGTGAAAAAGCAAAACAGTTTTGGATACAAATACATACGATGATACAAAGAACTTTGAAGTTTAATATTGAGATGAAACCAGGACTTTTAAATTGGGACTTATGGATAGTCAATTAGAAAAGACTCATAGAAGATTGGTTATATATATATGGTAACTGCAGCAAGATTATTACATACACAACTATGGAGAAATGTTGAAAGACCTCCATTGGAGGAATGGATTGTGAAGATGGCAGAATTCACAGAAATGGCAAAGTTGACCTGTTTGATCAGGGACAAAGCAATAAGTACTTTTATAAAAGACTGGAAACAGTTTATGGACTTTTTGCTGAAAATGGAAAACAAATGTAACTGTGATTTCTGGATTTGCTGATTGAAAAAAGGGTTGAATATGGACAGAAGGGAACCTTGTAATTTCAAAGAGACAGGCGGGATAATAAGTTAGTAACGGCTGTAAAGAAAATTGGAAACCACTTCTTGAATTATTTTTTGCTTTTTGCTTTTTCTGCTTGCATTGATTTCTGAACTTTTTATCTTTTTTCTTTCCTTCTAACTTTTCTTTATAAGTTGATCTTTTACTTACATAAAAATCTTTAATAAAAATTATATTATAAAGGAGTGATACGTTTACCATTTTTAACAAACACACCAGCAGTTCAGAACTGCATTTTTTTTAACCCCACTTTAATTATTTTTATAAATAACTGAAGGTGGCTTACCTAATACTCCTTCCTCCTCCTATTTTCCCCATAACAACAACCCTGTGAGGTGGGTTGGGCTGAGAGGGAGTGACCGGCCCAAAGTCACTCAGCTGGCTTTCATGCCGAAGGCAGGACTAGAACTCAGGGTCTCCTGCTCTCTAGCCTGATGCCTTCACCACTAGACCAAACTGGCTCTCTTTATTTCCAATGATCAAGGAAAATACAGGAACAAAAGCTAGGAGTCTTATTTTCCTTTAATGTGAACTTTAGCTTAAAAAAAAAAAGTTATAAAATCCACAATATTACTCAAAATAGTCCATCATTCCACAACTAAATTACAATTTACAGTATCCAAATAATTTAAACATATTCTTGCTAAGATACTAAGAGGCTGCATGTAGGTTTGGGATACCAAAAACTGGGGAATCAATGGCTTCATGTTTTATTCATTCAGGAGGTAATTATGGCACTTAAGAAACTAAGAAATTAATTTTGGGGGGAAAAATGGTATATTATGTATATTACCCAAACACATAATTCAGTAATCTTTCATTCAAAATGCAGACAAATAGAACCTCTGTATCAAGTCTCAATGCTTATAATCCTGTGCATAATTTTGGTGGTATTTCTGAAGAGACAGGAAAAGGGTCATAGTATTAAGCCTCAGTCTTAGTTCAACTGTTAGGAATCAGGTCACACTGAAATGACTATGATTGACTGCAGCCTAGTGATAAATGTATACCAGTAGCGCTGCAAGAAAAATAATGGACCTACTCCCATTTGTTTAAAAAAACTTGATATACTGTAACAATGCAGGAAAAATGTTCTAAAATCTATATCCAGAAATCAGCTGTTTAAATGAACTTGGAATGGTTTCTTATTACGTTTATATGCCTCCCCTCCCCAATATTTGTGTTTTACTGGCTAAATAGCCAGAGACATCATCACATCTCTGTATGAAGGGAAATTTGGACAGTTGCTGCTGCAATGTAGATATTCGCAATAGCACCAGGACTGTAATCACGCTGCTTAGCCAAACCTTGGTCAGTTCATTGGTTTAAAATACTACATATTTAGGACATTGGCATGTACCATCCAGGGCAGGGAGGGGGAAAGGTCTCTTTCCATGATTATGTTTCATGTGGAGTTGCCAACTTTTTTATCACCTCCTTTCATGTGCACTGATCATATGTTGATTCGGAAGCTTTAAGAGCAGTGATTCTTACGTCCATATCCTGAAAGCTTCACATGTTGATTTACTCTAAAAGAGTAGGAGAGGGGAAACCCATTTTTGACCAGTCAGTGGTAACCCTACTCCTGGGCTGTGATATCCATACCCACGACTGGGAATCTATACAAATTTCCAGGAACAGCTTGGGAAATAATGTCCTCATCATATTTTTTTAACAAAACAAAATGGTGCAGAACAAGTGTGTGATTTCCAAAGGCTCTTGGCAGAAAACAAAAGCAAACCAGCACAATTCTCAGCAGCTGCTATAGGCAGTGTTTCTGTACACAGTGATGGTTCCCACTCTAGGTACAGTAAGGGTTTTCAGTCTTCAATCCAGTGGAAGGCGATTCTTCTTGCCCACCTTGCTTTGAGCACATAAATTGGATCGTTCATTGAAATGAAGGCGAAACAGAGCAAGCAAACTTGTTCACACAACAGCATCCCTGAAACTTTTGCATTTCTGGTTTCAATATCCATGACCTCTTACATGCTTGACATTCTAACCAGCCAAAATATGTTTCATAACTGTGAAATTCAGTAGAACAAAAAATGTCTGCCCCCCCCCACCCCCTGCACACACACACACAAACAGGGTTTTCCAACAAATGAATCCTTTGTAGAACACTTACCTAATGCTGCTGATTACACATTTTCAGACACTGGGTTCCAGTCCTAATACTCCTGGGAGTAAGTTGCATGAAACACAGCATGGCTTACTACTAAAGACTGCATCTAAACTGCACAGAATTTTGTACAGTTTATTTTGAAATCATCATGCTGTGACAATCTACTTGAAAGTTCAGGTGGCTTGCTTGTAATTAATTTAAAAACATCAGATGTCAGATTTTGGAACTAAGCAGGCTTTATTAATGATGCATCAGGCTATTCACATATAAATGATATATATGTATAAATATATATATATATAAACACTAGATTGTGTATTCTGGAGTTGCTTGCTCTCTGTTTCAGGACTGAAACCTTCAACATCGATCAGGCTATAAAAATTGTACTATTTTTGTTTTTTTAAACATCACGGAATGAAAAAGCTGGGTATCATTTCCATATATATTATACATACATACATACATACATACATACATACATGCATGCATGCATACATACATACATAGGTACATAAATGGATGTGATACCCAGCTAAATATATATGGATAAGCTCACTGTTCAAGAAGTTTTCACACTCCAGGTTGCTATTAAACAATGTGCTGATTTGTTTCTACCCGATTACAAAGGAAGAAAGAAACTTCAAAGAGCACTCAGATCAGCCAAAATAATTAAAGAGGGAGACTTCTGTGTGCATTTGTATGTGACAAAGGAATTTATTATTACACAAATGGATCTATGAAGCCATATATTTATCTAGAAGAATCACTAAATAACCAAGCGTTTTGAAATGCAGACTTTCAGCGTATAACATAAACTTCGGTCTACTTGACAGATTCAGCTTCCCTTCAGAGAGAATTTAGGTTCTGAAAATTATGGCTATCCAAATTGAAGACTGTGAAAAACCTCGGTGTTTTTTCTTTTCCTCTACCTGAGTGTGAAGAGCAGCGTAGGTGGCAAATATCAAACAAACATGCAAGGAAAATAAAGGATTTGTTCAAGTTCTCAGTTGCATTTGGGAATCTAGGCAAGGGATGAGAACCCGCAGGCTTTCCGAGGCCTGCGGAAGCCCTAACAGGAGGGTCTGCAGGTACATTTCAGTTAAGTGAAGCCACCTAGAAGGAAGAAGTGTATTATTTTGTATTTTCTCTCTTTGTGCTTCCATGTATTATACAGAGAAGGGGAGTAATATGCATCTCTCCCTGGAGGACAATAGCAAGAAGTGCGAGAAATTGATATTCAAGTAGTTTTATTATTATTACAGTATTTTACTGTTTTGTTTTTGATTGGTTTTTATTTTATGCTAAAGCATGTCAGACGTAGAAAAGCACTATAAAACCTAATAAATATTAGGCCTGTGCAAAGAGGGTCTGCTCTGATTTGTCAAATCAATTCAAAGAATAAGCTCAATTCAATCTGAATTGTTGAATCAGTTTGAACAAACAAATGGAGTTTGAAATCTGAAAGTATGAACTGGGTCAGAAATCTGACCGTGCATGTGCAGAAAACTTTTTTATCCCCCAAATCGAATTGTATTCTTTGATTCAATCTGAATCAAGTTCACACACTGAATCATCAGACTTGGTAATTTGAATTGATGCAATGAACATTTGCACAGTCTAAATAAATACAGTAACTTGTGTTTCCCTTCTCTGTACTTTTGAAGCAGACTGTAGACTGATACCACTTTCCAATCAGCTGAGCACCAGTTGTTTCCTATTAAATCAGGATAATCCGTGTGTTGCCTCCAGATACCAGCATGACTACAGATGCATCCCTTGGTCCCTGTTAAGCTGCCTATCCCATGTGATTTTTCTTTTTTTTTAAAAAAAGAATATTTTGATAAAATAAATTTAATAGAAGATGAACATGCTGCAAAGCAAAACACCAGCCTCTAGCATAATAATTATTTATAGGAATACCTTTGGGTCCCGCAAGAACCTGTTCATTGCTAATTACCTTCTAGTGAATGGATTCATGGGACTCTCCATCCCTGTCATAGCAGCCATTTTACGAAAAGACCAATCTCTCATGGCAGCCATTTTGTGAATGTGCCTACCACATGCTATCACCATTTGCCCCCAGCCCAAAAATGTTGCCTAACCCTAGATTAGGGGATCTTAAAGTAAAGAAGATGAAAAAGAGAAGAAGAAAACTGTTTTGGAGTATTCCCTGATAGCTATAGGTTGGGTTTTTGAATGTCTTTGGGTCATATCTGACCACTATCATCCTAATGGCTGGTGAAATCTGGAGGTGAAAACATATGTTTGAATCTATCAGACTGGCAACAGCTTTGCAAATGCGATTCAGCCTTGCCTGTTGAGAATGCCTTTCCGAGAGTTATGATCTGATGAGACACATCAGCTGGAGATAGCAGGGGCTGAACCTCACACTGGGACTTATCTCTACCACTGACTTTTGGATCCTCTTAATAACCTTGTATCCAAAGAAAGTAGAAGGACAAGACTGTTCTTGTTGATCCATAGGTTCTAGGCAGCAATCCCCAAAACAGGCTTGATATTTCACCAGCAATGAGCAGTGAAAGGAGAAACAAAAGGCTCTTGAATTCATAAGGTATTAAAATTAAGCAGAGGAATCCCATTATTGAAAACTGGACACTGAAACATCAGTTTGTAGTGACTCTTGCTGTTGTGCTCAGACAAAAGGGGGACATAGTTGCTTCAAATACTATAAGCAAACACAATTTCATTGGGGACCATTAGAATGAAATGTCCAGCATGCTTTGCTTTTCTATTGAAGGATTACAGGGTTAGGTTAGCTAAATAGGAACATGGTATCAATAGCAAGCAAGAGTGCCAAATCTTGTCTTGGCAGAGGTTTCTTTGCCTTTAAGAGCACATGACTGGGAAAAATGCAAAGAGTAAAGGTTTTTCCATCATGGAAACAGGCTGATGGAAGCAGCTGTCCATGCAAAATTTGTCCCATCATGCAACAATTACAGACAGAGAAGCCAGTGTTTGGAAAGAAATTGGCATCCTGGAACATAATAGTTTCTTTTTTTTTTTTTTAAATAAAGCAGAAGTGCTTTAAGAGCCCTCCTTTGATCAACATCATATTAAAACACTTTTTTTTCTTTTGCAGTTAAGGCATGCATACCTTAGGAGTTATTCTTCATCCACTTCTGCTACAAACTGTGAATGATGTTCTGGTGACTTGCTGTGTGTTTTGCTTAGATGAAGTTTTACAGCATGTTTGCTCACAAATGTCCGAGAGCACAACTTACATTTGAACTTAGAGTCTGTGTCCTCTTCTCCAGCTATTGTTTCAGGAGATCTCTGAACTGAAATTCTGGAAATGTCTTGCTCTACCTTGGTTTGCTGCTCCACGGCCAGCTTGTTCATGTCCTTCATTTGGAAACCTAGATGGGATTCTAAATGGCTGATATATGTTGATGGGGTTCTAAACTGAGATGCACAGTCACTGCAATAAAAGATGGGGTGTCCTTTATCCATGTTTTTCAAAAACTTTGTCCCCCCAGTTTTTCTGAGCTGGTACTTGACATTTGCCAACCAATGGCTGATGGTAGTCATGGACAACCCAGTAAACTTGGAGATCTGCATACGTTCTTGAGGGCCCAGATCTGACAATAAATATTTACCCTCCGATGTTTGGAAGAGACTGGATGCAAATTGCGCTTGCAAAATCAGGAGATGCTGAGGATTCCAGTTGGACTGCCTTCCTTTTCTTTTATGCAAAGTGGAGACTTCTGTTGAGACATCTTCAAAACGCCGAACATCTATTTCCAGTTTCATTGATGGGATTCTGGATGAAGCAGCAGGTTTGGGAGTTGTTGCTTTGGGAAGAACTTTCACCATGTCTGCAATGTCAGACAAAGCATGCTTCTGAGGTGGGGAAGTGCAAGATTGAGCCTGAACAGATTCCCCTTTCTTATTCTTTGATTTGGTCAGGTCAATTGGCTGATCGTTGCTCTCAAACACATAATGCCTGGATGTAACACTTGCAGGTTTTGCTGGCGCTGAAGCAGGAGACAGAACAGGCTTCTCTATTATATTTAAATTTGGTTTGTGGAACAAAGATGTTGAACTTGAACTGGGGCTGGAGTTTGACTGAGGTCGCAAAGGCTCATTTGCTTTGCCCAGATGGTTGTTCAGCACAGACTGCAGGGCACTGAGTGGATTTAAGCCAGGCAGCTCTGAAGAGTGGTTCCCAGGGGTGCATCCATTGCTGAGAGATGTCACGGATTCCTTTGTATTTATTTTTTCTTCCTCTTCCTTTGTCTTGTGTTCCTCCTTCAAAGGACTTAGCTCTGATTTTTTGGGCTCTACGCACATTTCAGCCTGAGGAGGAGAGTCTCCTTCATTTTGATATGCAGGGCCCAAGTCTGTCTTGTTGCCATCTTTAATGTAGTCCTTATGAGCTTCCTTTTTGGTGTCTCCTTCTTTTTTCAATTGAGTGCACTGGACTATGTTAGCTGACACGGGCACTAGAGGCATCACTTTCCACTTTGGAGCAATAGGCCTCAGTTTATTAGTGACTGTTGGTCGAACCTGCAGAACTTGAGACCCCACAGGTAGGGAAGGCTTTGTTCCTTCTGAGAGCTGGTACGCTGCATGGATGCTGGGATACGCACTCCAGCTGGGTGCTCCATTCTGAGCTTTATTGATGGCTGTGGTGACAGTGTTTTCCAAAGACTTCAAAATGTCTCCACCACCTTTTGAAGCATCTTCTAAATCTTCCTCCCGGAGATACTGATATTTCATTGTTGGGTCCAGTGGTTTTTGAAGAGCGTCTTCATAGTCTTCATTTTTTACCACTTTTTCATCTTTGTTCACTTCCTCAGATTTATTTTGCTTACTTTCTTTTTTTAGCTCTGAAGCAGGAGCTGCAGAATCAGTTGATGAATTACTGGAGGGTTTCGAATGCTGGCTGTCACTGCCTGATGCATCAGAAAGCGACTGCATTTTTTCCACAGCCAGGGGATCCAAAACAAGTTGTTTCCCTTTCTTGGAAGCTGAGCTTGTGACTTTCAAGAAGTGACCTGTGACCATCATGTGGGTTGTGAGTTGCTGCAAAGTATCGTGTGAGCTCCCGCATTCCATGCACTTGAGAATCTGTGATTTGCATGCTTCAAACTGCCATGTGTAGCTGGCACCATTCTGGTAGCCATAACGATTGTTAGATGATAACTGCAGATTGGCATTCTTGTGAGAAGAAAAGGTGTCCGCAAAGGAACCAGTGGTTGAATCTGGAGAGCAAGGCCTATTAATGTCGAACACACGTTTCTTATTTGGAGTTACCATTTTGGAAGATATGGTAGGTACCGGCTCCTTCAAAGGCACTTTTTGGTAATGTTTTGTTTTGATCATATGAACGCTTAGGTCTTGAAGAGAGTCAAAAGAGTCACCACAGAACATACATTTCAGAACTTTCTGAGCATCTTCTTTATCCATGTCCTGGAAGGCCCTTTTGCGGGGCTTGGAATAGCTGGTAGGCCTGTGCTTGTCTTTTTTATGGTTGTCATCTTGGTAATGGCCACTTTCATTCATATGGACGGTAAGCTCAACGAGAGTATCATAGGCAGCACTGCACTGCCTACACCGGAACCTACTAGCACCTGTGAATACAGTTCCACACATTTTGCTGCTTTGCCTGTACAGCTGGACGGAGCTGAAAAGGTTTGGCTTGGACAGGGGCCGAGCTGGTAAACTCTGCTGCAAGCTTTTGGTCAGTGCATCCTGATGCCAATCAAAGTCACTTTTGCTTGCTCCGTTTCTATTATCACATCCCCTCTTATCAGAAGGGGACAGCTTGAGCCCCAGCCCCAAACCTGTCCAATAAGAATCCGAAAGGATATTAGCATAGACAGCGGTCATTTTATCCATGCAGCTATGCGCTTCACTTGGGTGCTTGGGATGAATATTGCCTTTGGAGTCCTGTGCCTCCCTGGAGCAAAGGCTTTTAATGTCTGCCACCTGGTCACTAGCATCGCTCAGCAGCGATTCATTTTCCACATCCTGATTGGAGAGATGACTTCCTGGGGAATTCTGGTAGCTGAAGCTTCCTCTTGGATCAGGGGCCATGTCATGTTCTTCATCTGTTCCTGGGTCATTGCTGCCCTGAAGATGAGCCGTTGAGTTGCTCTCATCATCATCCTCTTCCTCCTCTTTTATGTCTTCCTCATCTTTCAGGTCATCATCTTGGACATAACCTGAAAAGGAATATCAAAAATGTGAAATAGGTCAAATACGAACATGGAACATTCATTTTTCTAGTTTGGCATTTGCTTTCCCTGCTAGATTTTGGTTAATCTTCTGCTTTTATGGATTGTTAGCACAAGATGTGAAAAATCTGGCAAGGCTACCCGGTTTTATTAGCAGATGATCATAATTCTTTTTAACTTATAGATATTTGGAGTTAATAATAGTAGTCAAGTTCTAACCACCCCTTAATGGAACAGTCAGAAAATTAATATCTAAGATCCTATTAAGTCCATTAAAATGATATGATCATATGGATATTAGCTCGCTTGTGAAAATTTCAACTGGCCAAATAATAGAAATAAAATATTCTTGTTTCTAAGGATTAATTTCAGGTACAACAATATTGTCAACTTAATAACCATTCAGAATGCTTGAGAAAACAGAACAAATGAATACTAGACAGAATTGTACATGATATACACATTTGGTTAATCTGAACAATCACTGTTTCTCATAAGAATATATTGAAAACTTTCTTAAATCAAACAAGAAAAATATTTTCAATGGAAATGTACTTCTTCTGCATAGCCTCTACTTTGAAAATCTTGTACGATCTAATAATCCATCCATAAATTGTTAAACATATTCCAAAGAAGGGTAAGCTTCATTTTCATATGAATACTATAACATTTTCATTCAATTTATAGGGATAAAATAGTTATAACTCTCTATCTCCTCCTGAATGGAGTTGGGCATGGGTGCATCAAATAAGCATGGCATTTGAATAAATGATGTAATTGCATGGAAAATTAGATGGAAATCCCTTAGAATCCCTCTATGAATTTAGCAGCATATGTCACATATGGATCTGCTGAATATTGGGTTAAATCCATCTTAACTTAGTTTATTTATTTTATTTATCATATTTCTATAGCCACCCATCTCACATAAAACTGACTCTGGGTGGCATACACCACTTAAATAAAAACAGTAAATACATTAAAAACTGTCACAATTAAAAATAATTGTAAAAACCACACAAAACAGAGAGGATGATATCAATCACAACATCATTAGTTGCATATAGTTTGCACTGATATCAATGGGACATTAGTTAAATCATCACTACCTTGGTCCCTTAATTTCAGTGGGACCCAAATTAAACTAATTTAATCTGGATTCAGTCCACAGTCAAACTTCTGGGTCAAGCCCAATACTGCCAATTCCAAATGGCTATCATGTTCTAGCAATTTCTATTTTGGGCTTGTTAAGATTGGAATAAGTTGAAATCCCACTCTACCAATACGCTCTGCCTAATTTTAACTATTAGAAGCTATCATACTAACCTCAAAGCATGAGTTAGGAAGTTGACTTGTTAACCTGTCAAGCTAACTTTACCCTAATTCCAGCTTCCTCCATAGGAATAATCTAAATTAAATTAATCACAGTTAAGGGGCTATTTTTATTACTTGAGTTTGTTCCTGAGACATTAAACTAGGTTGATCTAAAGTCTCAACTCAATCACTGATTTTACTTTTATGAATAGGGATATTTCTCCCCTTGTTTTGTACTTTCCTTTCCTCACAGTATTTTTATGTTCTCTTACGTCAGTGTTGTCCAAACTTGGCCACTTTAAGATGAGTGGACTTCAACTCCCAGAATTCCCC